CAAAACGGCTCTCGCCAAGAGACCCCCCCCCTCCCCACCCGGTTCGACCCGTTAGCCTAAAATGACAGAAAAGCACAAGACGATTTTTAACGCCGTGTTTCTTTGGCATGCAGCATGGGGGCCCAGCCCGAAGCCCGCTGTGCGGAGGCAGCCTCACAGCGCGACACGCTGACGCCTGCATTGGGGGTGTACCTGGATGCCGAAGCCCGGTGTATCCAGACTGATGCTGAGCAGTGCCACGGACACATTCGAAATCGTCGGGGCTGTGATGCCTCCCTGGCTGCGTGTCCCACGGGGTCAGCAGCGCTTCCCTGCACGGAGACAAGAGTAGTGCTCAAATGTAATCGGACTAACATCTGCGGCTGAACTGAGTCCATACAGAGGATTCACGCTCCACAGTAAGAGGAAGGAGTTAGGTTATCTTCCATAAGTAGTTTTTCTTCTCTCCCTTACTCCCCCCCAATATTTAGTGAAATGAAAAATGTGCAAAATGTGCAAAAATCTGCAAAACGTGACTGGCACAATTTACATAAAGTTGTGTTCATAAGAGTTATCTGATTTCAGTGACAGAATGAGAGCCTTTGGCATGAAAAAAATACCAGTTTATATCTGACTGAAAATTAATTAATCCTGGCATTTACAAACAATATATTACTAGAGCATCATACATTTCAAGTCCTGCTCTTAAAGATGAACAGCTTCTTTGCTGAGTAACGGTCAAAGATTCTTCTGTTCATTCTTACAAATTCAGTAGTATTCACGATAACCCCTCAAAGGGCGGTGAGGTCCCATCACATGCCATGGATTCTGCTGCTTCAGTCCTCTGTCTCCTTGCCAAAGCTGCGTGCGCCACTCTCAAAAATAAGTATAAAAATCCAGCCTTCTGTTGGTTCTGATTTCACGGCTGTGTTAACGCAGGATTGCCTGTGTTTAACATTACGAGCATACTTAGGTAATTTTCTGGAAAGTGGCCCATATATCATTTTCCACCTGTAGTGGAAAAGAGATTTCAGGCTGCGGAAGGGCAGCCGACTTTGCTTGCAACACTTGCAGGAGGTTTGTTTACAGGTACAGAATAGACGATTCCCAGACTGCCTGGCAGCTATAAATCTGGAAGGACAGTAACTGTCTGCCCTGAACCCAAAACAGTCTCATTAAATGTCAGCAGCCAAGCCAAGTCTCAGGCATTCAATGCAGGACTTGGGCACTATTCCTGCCTCCCTCTCTCTGCTACAGCCAAAGTACCTCCCACCAGAGTTCCTTGGGGCCATATGCCAGACCCCTCGAGGCACTCTGGTCTGCACGGGGCAATCCCAAGCACGTCTCTGTGTGGCAGATGGGAAACGTGCCCCCTGCCAGGGCTTCGTGCCCTGCTGGACACTTTCCAGGGGCTGGTCAGCACCAAGGCCCCTCGCCTCATCGCAGACTTGTCTTATGCACTGCAGCGATCTGCAGGAAATGCTGCATTTTCCCCCAAGAATGAGAGAAGCACATATCAGTCTCTTCATTTCATCCTTCTTGGCCACCTAAGGAACATTTTTCCCAGTTCTAGATATTCCTAACTTTCTTCTTATCTGCTGGAAGCCCTTTACAAAGGCACTGAGATGAGCAGCAGTTTCCATTTCCTAGGCAAAAGGCAGTGCAACATGCGTTTCACACATGGCGACATGGCTTTCTCACACAGCCATTAGAGAACAATTCGGGTTAAGACTTTTAATTTTCCATTCTATTTGAGAAGTACTTTATAAACAATTGCCACAATTTTATTGACAGGAGGAGGATATTCCCTCCCCTTTCTAAGCGGTATTTTCATATCTGTGATCCATCACATATTCCTCTACCACAGCTTAAAACAATTGAGTCTTTCTGAGAACAGATGGCTCTACGTTTTCTTCCTTTAATTTGGTGGAGACTTCTCTTCCTGCAGTTTGCATGCCAGTGGAAAGAACAAATGACCAACCTTATCCTTCAAAGCTACAGGACCACTGCCTTAATTCTGAAGAAATATGAACCTCATAAAGTTTGTTGCTGTTATATTTAAGAACATAAGTTCCAGATTAGCAATTCCAATTGTTTTAAGCATACTGCCCTCCACCAACATGAAATTACAAGCTGTTTCAACCAGGATATACTGGTTAAAGACATGGTGGTGGCTATCCAACCAGACCTTCCACACAGTTTGACTTCCAGCTTTGTCCCTCTTGTCCATCAACCATCTGCACATGGTCTGGAACTGAACACCGTGCACAGAGCCACCTGTAGGTTAACAAACTGTGCCCTGTATGTCCACATGACAAAAGTCATCTTCCTTCCACTTGAATGTCTCCAATGTCAGCTTTTTCTTAGCTTTTGGATTGAGGCTGTGTCCGTCTAGAGTCAATAACAAAAGAGGGAGAAAATGGCCCTGTCTGTTAACACTGGGAACATAAAAACAAACTTGGCTGCTTTCGTTGTGTGAGGGCTTGCAGGACTGAGTGCTCTTCTTTAGATCTGAACATCTCCCATAAGTACTGCAGAATCCCTTTCCAAAAAACAGATCATTGTACCATCTATTCCAAAGTTGGGCTCCTTTTGATAATAATCCAAATATCTTTCTCTTAAATTGGAAAATTCTCACAGAACTGTTTGGGCAGATCCTCAGCTAGTGTTATGCGGAAGGAGCAATGCCCATTTATCGTGGCCATAGACAGACTTGCCAGTTCACACCAGCTGATCATTAGACCCACTGTCTTTCTCCGCTGCCTCTGAAGAAGGGGCCTTTTTTCACACATTTTAATTACTGACTCCCTACATAGACGCTATTTCCTCACAGAAAGGCCGTTAACTGGCACGTTCGGCACAAGATGAAACCTTTCCGATAATTGTTCCTTGAGTTCATGTTTGTGAAAATAAATATCATCAGATGATTAAATTAAACACCGCAGCCAGCTCAGCTATACACTATTTTCACTTATCATGCGGAAAGAGAGATCAAAGAGAAGGGCTCAGGTAGAGTTACTCCAACTCCTATAAGTTTGGTTGATAGCTACCTAGTGAACACACTAATTAGCTTCCTACTTGGGGCGTACAGCCCAGAAGAATTAACCCTCCCTAAATAGGCTGGTATAGCCATTTTTATGCTCTGTAATCAAGTGGGTGCAGAGGGATGACTGTCACCTCTTTTCTGCACACCGTAAGGAAGCAGCATAGATAGATTGATTCTGATTTTGGAAACCTTTGGGCCTTCATCCCCTTCAGCGTCTTGCGTGGCTGTGAGAGGGGAGCTGGGCCCAGGGAACATAAGCTAAGGCTGGACAAGACACTATTCATCCCTGCAGGGGTTCTGCCTCCCAGCTCTTCCCTCCTGCAAACCACTGTCCTTCTCCCTTTTGGTGAGCAGACATTCCCACCTCTATGTTCCTGCAGCAAGAGGCAACATGGCCCTCTCAAGCGCCTTGGCTCAGACATTGCCTAGATAGGGAGATTGTTTCTGAAATGGAGTTTTGTCCAAGCACCTTCCTGCTTTGCTTTCTCGCGTAGTGGCAGGTAAAAGAGGAGAGCAAAGCAGTGGGCAAACGTAGCCCTCATAGCCCTGTAGCCCTCGTTCCCACTGCAAGCTCGCCATCCTGCCTGAAAGCACACACACCCACACAACCAAAAAGCCCTGCTATTCTTCTGCTAATGGGATTGGCACCGCTTAAAGCAGTCTGCGAGGGTATTGTCTGCAACCACAGCAAGAGAAACATTATTCAAAGGCCATTCAGGCCCCAAAAGAAGCGGCAGAGCAGAGTAATTATCGGAGACTCTCCATTAACGAGGGCATCTTTGCTCTTTGTCTGTGTTGGTTTAATAAGGGCCACTAATGGGGCTGGGGGAGGGGCACGCTAATGCTTCTAAACAAACCTCCTTTCCTCCCCCACCGCTGCCCTGTGAGGAGAGCTGGCTTTATGGGCACTGACAGCCCAGCTCCCAGCTACCATATTGCAAAGTGACCTTCAGGAAAACTTAGTGTGAACTCAGCTGCTTTCAGTCCCATCCCCATGGGGCTGTCGGGAGCATCATTTGGGTGGCTGTTCTCTTTTTAGCCTTTCCATATTTCCCAGTGCTTGCCCAGGCCCTCTTGTACACCCCCTGCCTGGCCTCTCTCATGTCATCTTGTGACCTTTCATCGCTGGACTCAACAGCACTGAGTGGCAGTAATGAGGGACGACAGTGCAGATTAAGTTCTCGCAGCAAAACCTAGGGCTGCTGTCCATTATCCAGCAGCTACGGCTAGGAGATGCTGCTGGGGAGGAAGGACTGGAGCAGCCTCCCCTGCTCACACCACTGGAGAAGGCAGGCGAGGATCCAGCCACAGGCCAATGGGTCCTACCTCTGGCTTCTTGTGATTTTCCGGTGATGGAGAGGTGGACTGAGGTAAAAGCGAGCCTGAATCTCCTTCCTGAGATCCTTCAGAGCCATTCTCAGAGGTGTGTGTCTAAATTCTTTTGAGACCCTGTCTGATAGACTGTCCTCATCTTCAAATGCCAGTTTTCAGGAGCCAACTTCTGAAACAAGTTGCAGTATTACAGCCAGGCACACATTGGCCACCTAAATAATAAAATAGGGGCAAGAGGTCTCAGGACTTCTCTGCAAAAGATGGTGTTCAAGGAGTGCACTATAATGACACACACATGCCTAAGCAATAAACCAAGAAAATGATATAGCCCTTTTCAACTACAATGTAAAAAGTGCTCTGGATACAAGGCTGAGAACTGCTAGACTCGTTTTTAGCCAATGAGGAAACCAAAGAACAGTAAAGAAAAAGTTCCCACAAGTTTGTGCAGGTCTTCTTTCACTGAAACCAAGCCCTGGACACTGTGCTATTTTGTTTTTCCACTGAGCTTCTGTCTCACCTTCAGATGATGCAACCCCTACTGGTTGGTTGTACTATACAAACAGCCCATGGACTTCAGAGAGAAAGCAACGTCTGCATGCTATGTACTAGAACACGGACATGTCAGCAGCCTCAGGAACTGCACCGGAGAGCTGCCTGGTGTCAGTGCTGCCTCATTTGTTTTGAGGAACAGTTTTCAGATGAGGTATGGAATGAGAAACTTCTCTGCATAGGCACCCGCCCAGCCCTCTCCACCTTGGCAAATGTCCTGGTGCTAAGTGTTGACCACAAGTAGAGGAAGAAAAAATATGGAAAATAGGAAAAAATGTGGAAAATCCTCACTGCTTAAACCATAAGGCTCAAGTCTGAAGAAACAGATTCCACACAGGAACTCACCCTTGCTTCCTAAGAGCTTGGTAGTTTTGAAATGTTCATGATTTTAGGCTGTTTCTTTCAACATTTCACCAGTGAATGCATCTCTTGTAACAAAAGAAACTCTTCCTAGCTGCATTTCTGGCTCCTCTCTGTGGGATCAAAACATCTCCAAACAACCCTGCATGCAAGCCAAAGAGAGAGCAATCACCCTTTACACACAGAAAACTAAGTCACAGGGAACTTAAATGACAACACCTGAGGTCATTCTTGCCATGGTAGAGCTAGGAAGTAGATACAGTTCTTTCTCTGGATTCTTAGTGCAGTATTTTCAGATCAGTGGTAATCTTTCCCCCTATTTTGAAACATCTGGAGGATCACTCTCCTGAAAAATAAAATCATTCCTATTTTCAGCATTTCATTCTTCATGTTAATCCTAGTTTCTGTTTGTAGTCTCTTTCTTTTTTAAAAAAGAATTATCATACACATTTAGGAGGGTAATAACTAGATACAGAAGACAGTGGATTGCTAGAAACACATGACCTGACCTCTGATTGATGCAGGTTTTGTATTATAAACATCATCCTTCTTTGCCACCAGCAGATAACACAGACAGGCTTTGTTGAAAATGTGCATTTTTAACAAGAGACTTCAACAAAAACAAAATAGTCACTCAGAATGCAGGAGGATTTAGTCAGTGTCCAAGGCAAGGGTAAACGGAGAGATGCAAAAAGGAAGAGGTTAGTTTAAGGCCTAGAAGATGTGGGTACCACGAAAAGGCAGTTGCAGCATGGGAATAGAGGGCTTCCCAAGGGCTGGACAAAGAAATTTGTCATCAGAACAGGGAGATTTGAGATCCAGCATGAAGGAAAGTTCTGTGAGTAGCTTGCATGTGACAAGCTGAAATGAGACGGTCCTGTGGTGGAGGAGAGCGAAGCTCTCAGCAGTGATGGAGAACAGAGGGATGAGGAGAGGCTGGGTGGGTCTAATTATGGGAACTTCAGCCTTGGTAGCACAGTTGAAGGTGAGGCATCCAGTATGAAAGAGATGGAAACAAAGAGAGTGTAAGGTTTTGGAGCAAGAAGTCCAGTCTGAAAGTCATCAGTGTAAAGCAATTTTGTTGGCAAGTCTCCTTCCAATTCATCCTCCTTCAGACATGCTTCCTGCAGGGAACTGGTAATAACTCCACTGTCAACAGAGTATTCAGACTTGCTCTTTTAACGTCTATAGTTTAGTACATGGATATTTTCTCCCATTCTTTGTTATATTCATTCTGCTAATATTTTGACGATAACAGTTAATGAGTCTATGTATATTCCCTCTAGGTTGCTCTTCACTCTACTGCTGTTATCCTGTCACACTTAAAATAAACTGTTCAAGAGAAGTTTGAATTTAAAACCCAACAAAGCAGGGAACAGTTCTGCACTGGTGGTGCAGTTTTGGATTGTGCCCTCAATTGTGTTTGAGCTCATTAATGCAGATTTGAGCCACTTTTCAATTGTATCTGTGTCTTGAAACCCAGGAAAAAAGAAACAGGAGTAAAAGATGTCTTTCCAGAAAATCAGTTGTGTATTTATTTGCAAACTATTGTGAACAGAAGACATTGAAATATGGGACAGGAAGCAGCTATTAATCTCTGCAAGCACACCCCAGTTTAGTTGAGTGTCACTTCCCTGCTTTGTCTCTGCATCCTTTCAGCTCGTCTTTCTCTAAAAAACTTGCTCTCACTTTGCCAGTTTAGAACAACCTTTCCCTCTAATGCCCTAGACTGGCACTCATTGCACCTGTCTTCTGCTCTTTATTCCCAGTTGCTGTTCTTTTAGCCAATAAGAGTGGTGCTGAGGAAAGGTATCGCTTAGAGGTCAGGTAGACCAAGGCCCCACTACAAATAGGGGGCAGCAGCAATTGTTCAATCCTTTTGCCTGTCCAGGCAGCCCTGTTTGGAAAGGTTAAAAGGAGTGAAGGCCAGATTAGAGCAATGACCTACTTGCAAGGCCTTTACTACTCCAGAATGCCCCAGGCTTCCCTTGTAAGCTGTGTAAGTTGCTTCATGTCTCCACATCTCCGTCTCGCTGCTCAGAAAGAGAAACGATGCATTGAGGATGCATTTGAGAAGAATTACACTTAAACTCTACACAACTAAGTAGTTGATGAACTCGTACCCTGACCAGTCTGATGAGGCTTCTGTATCCAAAAAATCCAAGGACTGGGATCACTGAGGTAATGTGTTCAGCCTTGCCTTGTTACAGGGCTATAGGTAGCAGTCTTAGAGGATGTAGCTGACTGTTCAGTATGGTTGTTTCCTGAACTGTCTTTGCTCCCTGCTCGTGACTGCTCCCTACCTGCCTCTGCTCTGTACCTGTCTTTCTCCTTGTTCTGGTCTCACCATGGTTTCCCATCCTTTGGCGGCTTGGTTCAGTGCGGTCCGTGGCTTCTCCAGCTTCCCAGCCACAGGCACCGGCCTGGTTCTGGTCTCAGGGCACTGCTCGCTACCCCTGGGAAGGCTTGGACATGGCAGACAAGAGGGACATCTCTACCATGAGACATTGCTCGGTGCAGAGATGCCCCAGCCAGTGTCGATCCTGCCAGCTTTGAGACTGAGAGCAATACTGACACCTCAGTGCTGTGCAGCCCCTAACTTACCTACCTGCTGCACTGTGCTAACAGCCATCCTGCACCCGCAGCCTGCACCGGTCCCCTGCACAGCAGCACAACCATAGGGAGCCTCCAGCCAATTCGGAGATCTTTCACAAGGAATTGTGCAATGCAGAAACAGCCCAGCCTATGTGAGTTCCTCCCTGGGCAGCAACTCCTGTAGGAAGGCAATACAGAAGCTGGAGTGAGATCACTGAACAGCTGCTATATAGCACTAACTTCCAGGCCTAACTCTCCTGGAATGCTTTGGATAGAGGCACCTGAAACTGACCCCATTTCCTACCATCTAAAAGAAGCTTGAGATATCAGAGCTTTCACAAGGGTAATCTGCTGAACTTGAACTGCCTCTATCAACTGGCCTACTTGTTTATTGCTGCCAAGAACTTGCCCTTGTTTTCTCCTCAGAATAGATGTTACAGACCGACTTTTGGTGTCCATCTCTGCGCTCCTCTGTTGCGACGGTTCAGCTTAATGCTAGTCTAATTAACATATAGCATCTGGGGAAAAGCAGCAAGACAGGGTTGCTGCTGCCTTCATGAGGTCTCTGGCTGATGCTGTAGTTACTCAGGTGCAGCTGCAGTTGAATACAACCTAGAGCAGTCCCAAGGTTCTCCCACTCTGCAGTGCAAGGAGTGAGGGCACAAACATGATACACAGGAACCTTCCCCATAGCTTGCAACACCTATACAAATGCTGTCCTGAGAGCTAAAATCTCCACGTATCCAGCATTGTCCAGAGTACCTCCAACAATATGGCCAAACACTCTGTAAATCCTGAACAGCGCTATAATGGTCTCAGTCTTTTTCATTTCTACATCTGTTGTTGGGGAACAAACAAAAAAAAAAAAAGAGGGGATTGACAGAGAAGCCAGCTAAATAAAAATGATGCCATTGGTGTCCATGGAGATGAACAGCTTAGGTGATAATGAACAGGACTGCCATGGTCAGAGGGCTCTTTATGGTGCCAAATATAAGAGAGCAAATAATGGCATTTCTTGGTACTGCATCCTTTAAGACTAAAGACCACATAATCCAGCTTCACACAGTTGTGCTGCAAGGGACTTTGGAAAAATAAAATTCAGTTCTCTGCAACCAGATATTTCCTAACATTGTCTCTTCCAGACAGTAAGCTGTTATAAACCATAGCAATCATCAACATTTAATGCTGGGAAAATCGTGGTCCTGAAGCTTAGGTATCCATAGAGTCAATGTGCTGTGATGCCTTCCCATCTTCAGCACTTTCCAAGGGCTGCTTTGCACGGTTTCCTGACAGTTTGTTCCAGGGAGAGACACATGTTTCTGGCCATAATATTCCACTGAACTCCTCCTACTATGACTTGCAGTTGAATAGTTATTTGGTGTCAGGTGTAACATCTACCAGTTTCTATGTTCTTTTCAATCTGATATATTGTACTTTCCTCACCAGGGCTATTACAGTAAGAGTAGGGTAAAGACTTCCAGCTACATTCAGGCTGGCGTGACAATGCCTGAAAGCTGCTTAGAGAGATATTACTCTCTCCCTGCCAATGTGGAGGTAAAGAGAAGGATCACGACACAACTCTTCTCACCCTTGAACTGGAAAGGGTCAAAGAAGCCTTCCATCTAGTGGTATCATACTTGTTTATCTTGCATTAAACACTTCACATTTAGAATAAACTAAGTTAGAGGAAGAGCAGTTCAGCTAGCTGTATGTGCAAGAGATGGCCATTAAAAGGCTTTGTTTATGCAACCCTGCAAGCCTCTGTGCATCACTGCCCTCTCCTGGGCAGAACTGCACCGCACAACCATGGACCCCAGGTTGCTAAAATTCAGCAGAGCAGTTACTTTGTTTTACCTCAGGCAACAAGGCAACATGATTATCCACTAACTGATGCCCTGAACTTTCAGTAACCTCACTGAACCTCACAGTGACAGTGGAGCTGCTCCTAAGAGACTAAGGATTTACTAAAATATAATTAAACATGATGCAGCTAATGCTAACTAGGAATAGAAGGCCACATGTCAAGAGCTCTGAGTTATTAAATGGCTGTAACGCAAGTTAAATTTGCTCCGATTATGTAATTCTATCTTAATTAAGACATTTAAGTTAGCCTGTTTCAAGTGTGGCTGCTTTTCAGCCTTCAAAGACTCCAGCTTCTGGTGGCTAATCTGTTTGTAACTACTCTGTTACAAATAACAGATTCTTAATGCAGAAAAATAGGGAGGTGTGGGGGCGAGGGGGAAGCCATCCTGTTTCATGTTTCACCTTGTGGTTTCAAGTCTCCTGGGCTCATCCGAAATTGTCTTTGGAATACTTTTCTGTGCATATGTATATGCTGTATTTGCATACACCTACTTATGTGTACATGTACTCTTGTCTCTGACCATCAAATTCCTGCACATAGAAATACTCCACCATGCTGCTCACACTTCTTTTCCGCACTAGGGCTCTATCCAGGGTACAAATCTTGCCAACTTCCTCTCCCATTCTTTTGTTCTGGCTGATGCTCTCTGTGGAACCTGGTGAGCTGTTTCTCACACATAGTCACTGATAAACAGCCTTCTTTACAGACTACCCTAGTTGTTTGTCTTGTTGAAGGGATTCTGGGGTGCCTTTGGCCCACTGGGCTGGCACAGTCTTCCTTGTCTTAGAGGACACCTTAGTAAGCCCAAGAAGCAATCAATGCCTCAAGCCCACAGTGCAGCTGTTTGCTGAGCTGTGTCTCATGGGAATGCACGTGAGGTGCCTGCTACTAGCTCCTAGCAGCCAGCCAGACCAGGCGGAACTTGCAGCTCAGCCCTGTGGCCTCTCTTGGGCTCTTTGACTGCCACTGGCTGAGCCAGGAACCAGAGAGAAGGCACAGAGAAGCTTAAGGAGCATGTCTCTTATTAGAGATCCACACTCAAAGAACTCAGGTACAAAGCACTCTAGCTATACTTTATTTAAGCTCTGTCCACCCGGCAGTTGCCCCAGATCGATGCCCAGCTGAAGTCACTACGGCAGATAAAGCCTGAAAGCTGCAAAACAACGCAGAATGTTCCCTGTGTTATAGCCTCCCATATTTTAATGGGGATAAGTGGGCTTATTTCCTCACAGGAAGCTGTGAAAATAAATCCAGCAATGAAAGAGAGGTGCTCAGATACTGAAGAAACTCAGATAATGAAAAGCTATAGCCTCAATATCTCTCTGAGCCATATGTGTAACTTCCTACACTGATAAATTCAGCCATTCTAGTTTTGCCAGTGATGGAAAAAGGTGCATTATAGTCATCAGTGCCACTTTACTTCCCATCTGTGTTTCCTCAAGAATTGTCCCATATATTATGCTTTACTCTGAACGTTTAAGCCATGAGCTCCCTCTAGTATAGCAAAGGGATTAATGAGGTTAGTACCTTTGCTATCCTAACAGAACAGAGAGCAAATGTAAAACAATACCAGTAAAATGTGGGAATTCCTGTTCCCTTGCTTCATTGCTGGCAAATGATTCTTAGCATACAGCTAAGCATAGACACCTTCAGAGCTATGAGGCAAACACAGCTACAGGGCAGGAAAGGGCAAAGATCTAATTCTACATGCTTCTCCATGCAACACAGACACAACTGCAGAAGACCATTCTGGTCATCAGCTTTCACAGGAGAACAGTGTAAGCTGGCAAGGAGAATAGTGTAAGCTAGTTAGGAAGATTTCTATGGTGGGAGACTGCTGTGTTCATCGCGAACATATTCAGAAATGTAGGCCTCCGGCAAGGACTGCCACCCAGAAAGCGATAACAGAAGAGAACAGAAAGAATGAACTTAGATAATAGGAGGTGAAATAATCCTTAGAGTATCATAGGCCATGAAATTCAGGTTGGGTTTTCAAACTCTCTTTCTCTAATAATTGCTTCCATTTTACACTATTTAGGAGCAAAACAGAAGAATCTTTCAGTTGTTTAAGAGCTCTTCTGTTCCCCAAGAGTATTTAAATGTTTTGCCTTGAGTGATTTATGTGGGTGGAAAAGAGATCCCCCTGCTAAGGGTTAGATCTTACATCTGTAGCTTGTTGACAAGTCTCCTTTCCCACCCAGGCAGAAGGAAAGAAAGAGAGATGCAGCCAGCTTCTTTCTTGGTGGCATTTGGAAGTGGTTTGGAAGCTGGGAGTTGCCAAGCACAAACATGAGCCCACATATCTCTGCCCTACTGACTACTGTGTATGTGCTGTGCCAGTGGCCTAGGCAGCCTCTTCTCTGCTGCAGAGCAACTCTCTCAAGACACAACGGACGCAAAGGGTGACAATGGAATGAGGCAGAGCTCCTGAGAGAAAGAGAGACAAGAGCAAATGGATCTGTGACTATACATAGTTGCTTGCCAAAACTGCAAGCCAATGTAATATGCGGAAGCAACATCAACTTTTACACTGATGCTCACTAGTTAAGAGAGATGGCCTTAGCCACTAGGGAGAAACCCATGACCCTGTAAAGTTGCAGGCAGGCATTACAAATTTCAATTACATTTGTGACACTTACTAGTGATTCCTCTGAACTACAGTGTCTGCTGTCCTGATATCAAAATTGGATATCAAAGCCTTGTCCTTGACTTTCAGGGTCTTCACTGAACCACACACCTCCTATCTCTTCTGCTCTTTCTAGGACTTGATTCCATCCAGCAACAAAAAAATCTGTTTCCTGTCCAACAAACACATGCTTACTACAAGGCACGTGAGAAACTGTACCGAAATCAGGGGAACTTAGAGGTGTGTCTACATGGCTACCAGCAGTGCCAGCACCAGCCTCCTCCCCTTAACTTCAACCCACCCTGATAAGGTGCCAATGGCAAGGAAGGTTCAATGCTGACCAGCTGCCAGAGTCACCCAGGGTCTCCATCAAGTCTAAGGTGAAGCTGTCACAGTTAGATTATTAGATAAACCTAGCACAGTGGTCAAGCACTGGAACAGATTGCCCACAGAGGCTGGGGAGTTCCCATCCTTAAGAGATATTCAAAATCCAACTAGACGTGGCCCTGAGCAACCTCCTCTAGCTGACCCTGCTTTTAGCACGGGGGTTGGACTAGACGACCTCAAAAGGTCCCTGCCAACCTCAACCATACTGCGATTCTGTGATTCAAATTTGCCTTACAAGCTGCAATGCAGTTACGTCCTAAGTCTTCAACACAATGCTTAGGATCACAGGACCCTATTGACT